AGCCAATGGGCTCAGTTTACCAGGTTATGGAGTCCTCACCTGGTAAAGTATAAAAATGGAATGAGATTGGCGAGGGATCAACTTTGGTGGGATGCAGGGAGCATGGGAGCTGGGCAGGTCCTGGAAAAGGACAAGGGCGGGAGTCCCATCCTCAGCTGACGTCAACACTCCCTACAGAGCTTTACAGTTACTAAGGGGCTTTCACACCCACCGTTTTCCTGGCTCCTGACGGGGGTGGAACTGCAGGTGTATGTATCTCACTTTATGGGGTGGAGGGAGCCCTCCGGAGTTAAGAGGCTGGGCCACAGGCTTATTAGAGTCAGGGACAGTGCTGCCTTTGGGATTCCAGGTCCACACTGTGCTTTTCCTCCCACCCCTCTTCTACCCACCCCAGGCGGCAAGGGGTGGGGAGCCCGGCGTGCTCAGAGCCCGGGCGCGAGCCTGCGCGCAGAGGCCTGTGCCTGAGCTTGGTGTGCACGGGTGCACCGGAAAGTCTTTCCTTCTGGGTGCCGACCCGCGGAGCCTTGCTGCCTGACGGCCCCTGAGAAACCAGAGGCTGTGAGCTGAGCCAACTTGTGCGCCTGGGGGACAGGGCTGCTCTGCGACCCGGGGGCATGGTGGCCCGTCTGACCCATCTCGCCTCGCTCCGCCCCTTTCAGACTCGGTTTCTTCCGTCTCTTGGAGTCTCTTCGCTTCCAAATCTTCACGGGTTTCCAATTTCCTCTCCCAGTTCCTCGGACCCGGTCCCCAGGGCCGTCAGCTCCGCGTCCTTTTCTAGCCGCTATGACCTGTCCGCTGGAGTCGGAGAAAGGGGATGAGGTTCAGGGGTGGCCCAGGAGGAGGCGGCCTGCGGGACGGTGGGGACTCCGAACGGAGCACAGAGGTTTTGTGAGCAGGCGGCGATAGCTAAGCCAGCTTCACCCTCTCCACCCAAACCCAACACACCTTCCCACCCTCAGGGCCGCTCCCCTGCCAGGACCAGGGGTGTAACCCCCTCTGCAGGGCTAGGCCACCCGCTGCGCCCGCCGCCAGGACGGCAGCTCCGGGGCTACTGCTCCGCCGGCGTCCGCGGGCCGCACCGAACTGCGGCGCAGACTCCACTTTCGCATTCGAACTCCCGAGTCTGGACCCTGGCGCTTCCCGCGCGTCACTCGGGCTCCGAAGTGCCTCCTTCGCGGCCGTCCCGCTCCGCTTTCAGCATCGTGGTTCCGGCTCCGGCTCCGGCTCGGGAGAGGTAGGGGGCCGCGAGACTTGGCGGGCTGGCGTTCTCCCCCACAGAGTGGGGGCCGTAGAGAGGCCGCCGTCCCCCTGCGCCCCCAGGGCCACGCCCCTCCCAGCCGCTGACCTGGATAACCGAGACCGCGACTGCACCCAGATACTCAGATGCGCTATCTATCCCATCAGCCCTCCTCCACCCCGTCGCCATTCCGTTCCCACCCGTCCCCAGGGTCTGCTGCTAGGGGGACCCCTGCCAAGTTAGATAGCTTCCTTGTGATCTCTCTCCAGTCCGCTTTCCCCACCCCAACTCCTGAAAGGGGCCGAGGGACACGTCTCCCACGGCCGAGGCCCTCTGGGCACCGCCGTCCCCCACTCCTGGGCGCGTCTTCCTCATCCCCTGCCTCTGCCCCACTTCATCTTTCCTCCCCCGCCTCTTCTCCGGGTCTCTGTCCTCTTCCAGCCTCTTCTCTGGCTTTCTCCGTTCCCTGACCCCGCCCCCCACCACGCGCCCGGGAGAAGGGGGTGTGTCACGATGCTTTCTATTTATAGGCTCCCTGGGGAGGGGGTGCTGTGCTAGGACTTTTTTGGCGTCAGCTGAGCCCTGAGTCATGAGGTGTCATGTCTGTGATTCGGTATCCATGCCTCCTCCCGCTCCCCTCTCCCATCCTCTCCACCGAATCTCCTGTCTGCCTTTGTCTCCTTTCTGCCTCCGTTCTAGTCCTTTTTGCGCTCCTCGCATCTTCAGGCGCTTGAGTAGCTGCCCTTTCTTTGTCTCCGCCTCTCTGCTTTCTGCTCCCTCTCCTGCCTCTTCCAGTTCCCCAAAGCTGGGACTTCTAGGGCATCAGTATTTCAGGTGGGGGGTAGGGGGGCTGGTGTGGAAATGGGTTGGGGGCGCTCCCAGCATGCTCGATAATTACTTCAATCATCTCCTTCTCCCCAGAGTGACCATTCATATTTATGAGATTGAAAGAACGTGGGGATACAAGGATGTGGGGATATGGGTGGCTAGGGAAATTCTACCTCTCCTGCAGGAGCTTGGTCCAAGAGATGCCTGAACTACATTTCCCACAGTGCCCTGGAGGCACAGGGCTGCCTCTGCCTAGACACGTTCTGCGAGTTAAAGTTCAAGGAGTGGGTTGGAGGGTATCTTACTGGAGGGTGGGAAGTGATCAGAAAGTGGAGCAAGGATTGTGGAGCTGGCCGGCAGCTTTGGCTTGGCCTGGAACCCCTCACCTATTTTTTCCCAGCACCCACCTCCTCCAAGGTTTAAGGACCTTGGAATCTTTGTGTCTCCAAAAAAGGGAATAGGAATAGAGGAGTGCCTTGAAAGAAAAGATGGGTGGTGAATTGGCAAGTCTTTCTTTCTTCCTTGTGACCCTGGGAACTACCCCACCCCTTCCCCTTACAAACAACCTAGTCGGAGATGTAGAGACACCATTGGAAATAGTCTCATCTTGAAAGCAAGGGAGGGAAAGAAAAGCCTAAAGCCTGAGATCTATTGGATGTGTTCCTGTTTACAAGCTGCTCACATTCTGGCCCCCTTAGGAGCTGGGGGTGGGGGGTGGGGGGGCCCGGGATTGCTGATGTTACTCCTCACTTACCAGCTTGCATTTTCCAGGGCCCCATGGACAGCTGGTGAGGTTGCCTAGAGATGCAGATGGGAGCCACAGGTTAACCTGCTCAAGTTAACCATCATCCCCAGAGCCTGATCAAGGAGTCTGATGCTTCTTGTTGGCCTAGAAATTGCTGACAGTGGGGGATGGGGGGTGGGGGGTAGGGAAGCAGTGGGGTTCCTCCCACAATCCCATCTCTGATACTGAGTCAGCTCAACCCTTAGCATTTGGGGCCTCTGATTCCAGTCAAGGATCCAGTGATTCTTATCTTTGCTCTTCAGACTGGGTTTGGAGATCCAGACACACACACACACACACACACACACACACACACACACAGATTAAAAGGTTATGTGTGTGTTTTTTCCTGGCTCCCTCACTGGCCTGGGAGCCAGAAAAACTTACAGTCTTGGGCCTCGATTTCCTGAATGTGAAAGGATTGGGTTGAACTTGGTGGTCTCTAATGACCCTAGCTGGGGCTCTAAGAGCCTGTGAGCCTGTGTCTGTGATCCTCTGAGCCTGTGCCTCTGAACTGTCTTACCTGGGAGAGCCTTAGGCATCCGCATCAGATTGAAAGAAAGAAGGAGATGGTGGTCGTGTTTTGAATCTTGTTTGTGTAGCAAGCACTCTGTGTTCACATAAATTCTGTTTCTGGTATGGAAGCTAAAATCACCCCTAAACCACCGCTTGGTGCCTCTCCCAGCCTGGGTAATGTTGTTGTTGTTGTTTTAAATCCAACCAAGCCATTATCACCCTCCACAAAGTAGTTGTCCCCTAAGATGTTGGTTAATGAGATACAGGTTGTGTGTGTGTGTGTGTGGGGGGGGGGGATTGTAATTGGCTGGAAAGAGAGAGGAGGGGGATTTGATCAGTCTGGAGGAAGGAGATCTGGAAATAGTCCTCAGGACATGGGGAGGGCCTCTCTTTTTGGCCCTGTCTCTAGGCAGGGAAAAGAGAAAAGCCAGAGGCCAAACAGGTGCCAGATCCACAGGGGACTGACCCAAAAAGGAGACTTTGAGGAATGGAAAGGCCAGGAAAAATCCTGTGTAGGAGATGGCACAAAGATTACGGGAACACATTTTAAAAGGAGGAAAGGGAGGAGAGAGAAGAGAAGGGACTGCACCTTTGGCGGGAAGGGACATGGGGAAGGGACATAGGGGATCTGGGTGGACAATGGTTTGCTGGAGCCACAGCAGAACCCTTTTCAAAATGATCGTCTCACACTGGAGTGGAGCCGAGTCTCCAAAGGAGGGAATATGTTCAAGGAAGAAGGAAAAGGTGGTTTTGCTGAGCCTGGAAGGAATGGCTTGACATTTTCTAGTGGAGCTCTCCATGTGCCCACTCCCTTGGTTTATGTTTGAATGTGGGTGTTGGGTGTGGAGGGAACTGTGTGTGTGTGTGTGTGTGTGTGTGTGTGTGTGTGTGTCTGGGGTCTACTTCGCCCTCCCTTTGCCCTGGAATGATAAGTGGCAATGGTAGAAAAAGTAGTGGGAGCTAAATCCTCCACTTTCCCTGGAAAACTGTCCTGGAGAGGGAGTGGAGATTATGGGAATTTTTTTTTCTCATGTTGCTCTTATAGAGAGGCGGTAGGGCGCTTGAGGAGTGTCCCTCCATTATTTAAAATATATTTTATTGATTTTTTATAAGAGGAAGGGAGAGGGATAGAGAGTTGGAAACATCAATGAGAGAGAAACATTGATCAGCTGCCTCCTGCACACTCCCTACTGGGGATGTGCCCGCAACCAAGGTACATGCCCTTGACCGGAATTGAACCTGGGACCCTTGAGTCTGCAGGCCGACACTCTATCCACTGAGCCAAACTGGTTAGGACTTCCTCCATTATTTATACCCTCCTTCTCTCCTTTGAGTCCTGGGGTTGACTGGGGATGGAGGGGGCCAGGGGCTAGTCTCTAGGGAACTCACAGGGTCCCGAGTTTGTGAGTATTAAGACACATCCTGGTTGGGTAGAGCAGGATAGGATTAAGAGTTCTTGGAGCTGGCATGAGGAGGGAACTGGAGGCCCTCTATTCCCAGGAAGGTCTGTGTGGAGAGAGGAAGAGAAGCAGTGTTTGTGTAGGAAGGGCTTGTGGGGACTATTTGTGTAGAGGAGGCCAAATGTGGAAACAGCAGACTCTGACCCCAAATGCTGGGTTCTCTCTTCTGCAGGTGAATGAAGCTGGAAGCTGACTGCAATGTAGCCACCTCAGAGGTCCTAAGCCTGAAACCGAGGCTGAGCGAGATGCGAAGCTACTCTCAGAACACCTGCCACAGGAGGCCAGGACAAAGTCCAAATCTGGGTCAGGGATGGAGGCTGAGAAGGACCCTCTGGGGGCCCAATTCTTGGGGCCAAGCCCAGGCCAGGATCTGGGCTCGAGACAGACTGAGCAGTTGGACCTCGTGGTGGCCACAGAACCAGTTTGAAGAGGTGCTGGCCATCTCAGGGGGCATCTACGGTGGCCTTGACTATCTTCCCAGCTGCTACCACATCTGGCTCCAGGATCCCAACCTCACGGTGGTGCTGGCCAAGCACACCAGAGAAGTGGTGAGAACCGAGCAGTGCCCAGGCGAAAAGGGGTGAAGCCATGTTTGGGTGTCTGAATCTTAGGAAGGAGAGGAAGCGAGCCCCTCTCCCTCAGCCCTGGTCAGATTGCTGAGGATATCGAGTAGGCTTTGCAATCAAAGAGTAGGGTGTTCAGATCCAGGGGCCTAGCCAGTGAGGGTGGGGTAGGGGACACGTAGAGCACAAGAACAGTGGAGGAGCCCAGCTGGCTCAGTGGTGGAGCATTGACCTATGAACCAGGAGGTCACAGTTCGATTCCATGGTCAGGGCACATGCCCAGGTTGCAGGCTCAATCCCCAATGTGGGGCATGCAGGAGGTGGCCGATCAATGATTCTCTCATCATTGATGTTTCTACCTTTCTCGCTCTCCTTCCTCTCTGAAATTAATAAAATATATATATTTTTAAAAAGAATAGTAGAGGGACTGGTGAGAGCTTTGGTATTTGAGGATTTGTTTGAGGAGTTTCTGGGGACAGGAGCACTAAAAGAGGGGAGCTAGTAGTGTGGAGGTAGGCTGGGGATGGGAGCAGGTAGAATGGGGCCAGGAGCCCTAAGTAGACTGACTTCTCACACAAAGAAGCCTGGTTGCATGAATGAGCAGAAGCAGTTCAGAGATGGGCTCCGGGAGCAGCCAATAGGAAAGGAGCGTGGTAGGTAACCGGGGCGTGGTAATCTCCTGGAGGTAGAGCCAGTGAAAGGGGGTGTGAGGAGTGGTCAGGGACCCCTTTGCCCTCGGGGCTTCTGAATCTCTAGAGGTGGAAGCCGCCGGGCCAATGAGCAATGAGCGTTACTGCCAGGTCTGGAATCTGAGACCCAAGTACTGAGGAGAGCTCCCTGGACAGGTACCAGGTCTGGCCTGGCGCCCAGAGTAATGAAGGAGCGCTCAGCGTGTGGGAAGAGGCGAGCCCTGTGAGCCCAAGTGGCTGAGGCAGGGAATGGCCCCCCTAAACACCAAGCAGGTGAGAAGCACAAAGAGGCTGGGCGTCTTCCCCCAGGCTCAGCCAGTCACCCGTTTTCTTTCTCTGCCAGTTCTACCGGTTCTACGGAGTGCGAGCCCTGCCCTGGGGGCTCCCATCTTTACCTAAGCCCTTTTGCCAGGGGGAAGTGAAACAGCTCCGACTCCCAGCTGCCAACCCACCGGAGAGCTCAGGAGCCTAGACTTTGGTGACCCTGCCTCCCATGCATCCAGCCTGTCTCCCTCCAGGAACCCAAACAGCTGAGCCTTTATCTTACCCCCTCCGCTTCCCCCATCCTGCCAGCTGACCTGCTGCCTCACTTCCACCGCCAGCCCCCCCCCCACTTGTGCCCCCCACAGGGCACCACTTTGGTCCAATTCAGCACATCCGGGCCTCTGGCACTTTGTCACCGCTGCCCACCCAGGCGCTGTCAAAAGCAGGTGGCGATGTGGCAAGCCTCGCCGGCATCAACGTCCTGTGCCAGCTCTTCCTGGCACCCCAATTGTGGTCACAGCTGGCTTATTTCTGCCAGGTTGGCTTGGGGCTTGAGCTGGTCAAAGGTTACACAGATCAGTACTTGCTTGGAGGCCACATTTGAAGCCCCTACTATCTGAGAAGATGCCACCCCCTTCCCCAGATCCCCAGAAAGGCCTGGCCTCATTTGCAAGCTCCATCCCCTCCCCTGCCCCCTATCCTTTCCCACTGCTGGTCCCTCTTTCCTTCCCCCCTTACCTCTCCGTTGCCCACTGCCAGATCAGAGCCACCCAGTTTGGTGGACCCCCTTGCGCTGCCATTGTCCACCCTTTCCCCTTCCCGGGCAAAGAACCTGTTCCGCCGTAGGCTTCAGAGCTTTTTACTGTCCTTCCTGGCTTCTCCCTTCCTACAGTACCTCTCCAGGAGCACAGCTGCCTCAAGCCCTCAGAGCTTGGCTGTTCTCCCCTCACTGCCCTGTGCCTTTAGATCAGTGTCCTCTCCCTTTTCTCTGTACCTCCACCGTCCTGCTCCTTGGGCCTCCCAGACACTTAGCTCCTTTTCCCCATTATGTCTTTATCACCCACCCTGTGTGCAATATGGAAAGAGACCCAGTAAATGAAGTAGATTTATAATGCTCCCCCTATTTTGGACCCCTGTTTGCCCTCTGGTGATGCACCTTTTGGAGCTTGCACCTCTGACTGGAGTTTCCTCCAATTTCGCACTATGTTGATATTTCACAGGCCCCCTCCTAATGCCCGCAATCAGTGGCAGAACCAGGGGGTTCAGGCTGGAGAACTTGGTGTAGGGGAGGGCAGGTCCCTCCGCCAGTGTGAGGCCGTCTTCTGATTCTAACTAGGCTGCCTCCTAGTGAGACTGGAACCCCCACCTCCAGGTATTTCTGGACACTCCTCCCTTTCTCTCATTCCTTTACGCTTTTTTGGACTTAGACAGTCCTTCTATTTAAATGCAAGCAGTAACAGCTGTGTTTGCACAGCGCTGTCTTCTACACTGCATCCTCACATCTACTGTAGAGGGAGGAAACAGACCCAGAACGATCAAAGTGACTTCCCAGTCACTCGCAGTAGCTGGGAGCCGCCTTGCAGGGACTAGAAGCCAGGTGTCCCAGGCCCAAAGCCTCATTCTTTGATGGTGATAGCTTGAAACTACTTGTTGGACAATGAACAGCTGCTAAGGACACATGGACAGTGAGCACAGGATTCACTGGGATGGGATCCAAGACATGGGCGCCAGGAGGTGGGCGGTGGGCAAAGAGGAGCACCGCGCTTCACACTGTCCCCATTCTGGCTCTGCCATGCCCTCCTCTGCCTCCTGTGCCCGACCTGCTGCTACTCTCCCTGTCGCTTCAACCAAGGCTATGTTGCAATAAAAACGATTTGTTAGTCCACCCTGTGTTTGTTTTACTTCTCAGTGTGTGTGTGTGTGTGGGGGGGGAAGACACATGACATCCATTGCCTTCCCCCTTCCCCTGTATTAGGATCTTAGCCCTGTGGCCATGGGCTAATGACCCCCGCGAGGGGAGCTAGCCCTTGCCTGCCCCCACCCCAACCAAGAAGCAGAAAGGCGAGCAGTGGCGTGGGGCCCTGACTAGCCTTGGCCCCTGCACCTGGCAGTAGGCTGCTCTCCAAATTCTATGGGCTCTTCCCCCCAGTTCCCCTCGGCATCCAGGATCAGCCTCCCTCAGCCCTGCGATCCAGGCGTCTAACTCCCAGCTCTCCACTCTCGCTCGCTTTCTCCATTCCTGGGTGGGCACCAAGCAGAAGGTGGAGCCGCCGCTTCCCCCGGGAGCCGACCTCGAGGTGGTGATGACTGCAATCCCCAAAAGTAACACGCGGGGGCGCCAGGACGTGTGCGGACGCGGGCGAGGCAGCGCAAGGTGGTTTCCGTCCGTGTGAGTGTGTCCATGGGCGTCTTTGTGTGTCTGCGTTTCTGTACATGTGTGTACGAGTAAGAGGGTGTCTGGGTGAGATGTGTTCGGGACATCGTGGCTGGTGTACCCCAGAATCAGGTACTCCAAGTGTCTTTGATGAGGACGATGCTTGATATGTTGCTATGTGCTGTGGATGGGGAGGCAGGGAACTGTGTGTGTCGTCGTCCTCGTGTGTGCAAGGCGTAGCCTCCGAGTCCCTGACCCGCATCTTGGGCTTTTGAAGTCACATACCTTCAGAGTTTTTACCCCCTTCCACCATCCTGTGTAAGAAGAATGAAGGCTCTCAACGCTAATCTCCATTACCCTGTCACATCTTCAGCATGGGTCTTCTAGGCTAGGTGTGACATTGTGTTTGTGTAAATGGGTGTGTCTCAGAATGTCAATGTAACTCTGAATGATAGTGGTGTGTGTGTGTGTGACAGGTGGGTGTTGGAGGAGGCTGACTCAGGATTATGGAAGCAAACAGTTTCCCTTTTCTTGTTAGTTTGTGGATGTCACCTTCCTTCATGGCATGTATGTTTTGCTTTCTCAGTCTCTCCAGTAGTTGTCTCTCTTTGTGTCTCTCCTCATCTCTGTCTCCTTCTCTCTCTCCCTTTCTTGGTGACTCATCTCTGCAGCTTTGCCCTCCCCCGGCTTCCTGGGTCTCCCTTCCCCCACTCAGGAGTGGGTGGGAGTATGAGGGAATGGGGACGGGGGACTGAAAATTAGGGTGAGCAACCCCTTCCTATTACTTATAATTCCCAGACCTGTCAGTGGCCCCCAGCCCTCTCCCAGCCCCGTTCCCAGGACTCCCCAACCTACTCAACTGGAGTGGCAGATAGGGCAATAATGTGTTCTGATGGGGCCGTTTTCAGGGGGAGGGGGTGCCTCAGCAGCTTCTTTCCGTTCAAAGTGGAGACCCCTGCCCCTCTCATAAAGTTCCTCCGCCCTGCCTCCCCCCGCCCCCATCGCTGACGCAATGAAAGCCTGCAGAGGTGAGTCACCGGTTGGGGGAAAGGAAGAAAAGGAGGGGACCTGGAGGTATGGGGGGAGGGGCACAGGAGGAAGGGAAGGGGACCAGCCCTTGTTCTTTTTCTCTCCCAAACTTTCTCGGGGAAAAGATCCAATGCTCCCCTCTCCTGGTTTTCCAAATCTTTAGCCTGAATCACTGCTCTGCTGGACCCCATCTTCTCTCACCCTACTGGAGAGTGAGCGATTCAGAAACAAAGACAAAGAGAGAGGCATTTGTACCAATAACTCAGCGAACACCAGGCATCCCCTCCAGACCCCCATCTCAGCTTTGCCTTTCCCAGCTCTCTCTCCATTTCTCTTCCTTTCCTGCCACCTCCCTCTCTCCCGGATCCCAGGAACCTGCCCCCAGTCCAGCGTCTTTCTCTGAAACCCCTAAAGGCAGCAAGGTATGAAGAACGCAGTGCATTTTCGAGAGGTAGAGTGTGCATGAATAAACTGGCCCAGGTAGGGAACTGGAAAGGAGAGAGGCAGAAACAGACTCAGATAAGAAGGATCCAGGTCCAGATTGTGGAATCACCAAGCCTATTGCCATTGGTGCCTGGGGCTCCCTCCTTCTTGCCACCTCCCTCACCCCAAGATGGCTGAGACTCTTGGGATGTTAATTTCTGACACGTTCTCCTGGGCTAGAGTGGAGAAAGGGAGGCATGGGGAGTTGGGGAAGAATGGAGGAACACGCTGAAAACAAGGGGCAAGGACCCGAACTTGCGGGCTGCAGATGAGTGGCTTGGATTCTGAGGCTTTATGGCATAGAAATCTAGAGAAAAGGTGAATGTGGGGAAGGGGCAGGAAAGAGCACATAGAAGTCCACGTAACCTCTAACATATACCAACAGACATGGAAGGACCCAGAGAATGCAAAAGACCCACGTGCGTGCACGCGCGCGCGTACACACACACACACACACACACACACTATCAACGCACCAACACAGGCACACTTTCCAGACCCAGCAGATGCCCAGACTCAAGACTCTTAACTACACGGGTATACTGGCACGCAGGAGGGATCAGAACCCACACCCATTCACACACAGATACCTGGAAATAGGCAAAAACACAACCACACACAGTGGAAAAGATTACATATTTAAATCAGAACACGACCACTCTTGCCCCCCCATCCCCCTTCTTTTTCTTTCCTCCCGTATATTTCACTAATCTCTACACATATACACACATGTGCATACATACATAGGTGCATGTCCACATACATGAGCCCACAGTAACACAGTTTCTCTAGGTGCCTATCTCCCCTCACACTTAGTCCCTTAGCTCCATCAGCCTCGCAGTCTCCTCCATGGCTCCCCCGCTTTGCCTGGCTCTTGGATGGCTTCCCCTCCCCCTCTCCAGATGTCTGAACCATCTCTCTGATTCATCCTCCTCGGGAAGGTAACGTGACCCCCTCCTCATTCCAATGCTCTCAGTAACCAACCACACGGGGAAAAGAGGGAGATGGGGAGGGAAAGGAAGAATGAGGGGGGCCACAAGGGCAGCAGGAGATCCTAGATTTCTTGTGTGTGTGTGTGGGTGGGGGTGAAGTACTGCTGTGGGGCCTGTTACCCCCTCCTCTCCCTTCTTTCCTTGGCATCTCCGCAGTCACCTTGGCTTTCAGTATCTTCCTTTTGCCTGTTCCCTCTACCTTTTCCAGATTCCCTCCTTCCTTCTTCCCTCTCCTGCTGTCTTCTCTCTTTCCTCTCTCTCCTCCTCCCCACCTCTTTCCTCGCAGAGCTGATGGGCTTTCTTCTGGGAAAGTGGAGACACGTCTGACCTACAAGACATCAGCGACAACGAGCGGAAGACCAGCTCGGCCGAGTCCTCCTCAGGTAGCCGCGCTCCCGGCCGAGCCCAGATGCCCTGCTGCTCAGGAGGGCCGCAGGGTCACTCCTGCTGTTTGCTGCCTACAGCGGAATCCGGGTCAGGCTCTGAGGAGGAGGAAGAGGAGGAGGAGGAGGAGGCGGAGGGGAGCAGCAGTGAGGAGGAGGAGGAGGAGGAGGAGGAAGAGGAGGAGGAAGAGGAAGAGGAAGAGGAGGATTAGTGCTAGGAAGATGAGGAGGGGGCTGAGGACTGGCTCTGGTAATCGGAGCCCTGTGTGTGCCCATGGGCACCCCTATGGCTGCAGTTCTTGTGTGTCTGGTGTGTCATTGTAACTCCCCCCTTTCACTGCCCACGCCTCCGCACAGCTCTCTGCCTGCACTGAAGCCCCCCTCCCTCCCCTTCATTCCTGCACTGGCGGCTCCCCTTGGCTCACTCCTCTCTCCCCTGCCCCCAGGAGATATGGTCGAGGGGTCTGGTTGCAGTAAGGGGCGTTCTCTGACGTTGCATGCCCACCCCCACCTCCCGCATCGTGTTTCAACCTTCCCTTTAAGCAATGGAGAGAGCTGGAGTTGAGCCACCGCCCCCCACCTGCGCAACCCCCTCCCCACCTGGTTTGCTCTTGCCCTCCAAACGTCCTTTTGGGGAGGGGGGGAAGGAGCAGGAGAAAAAGAAACTGAAGGGGGATGGGGAGTGGTGGGCTGAAAGGGGGCACGGTGGAGGCACCAACAGACGCTACAGTCAACTGGACAGACACACCTTTTTCTTCAGACACGCACCGACAATGTACAGACACGACAGAGGCACACACATCCTCAGTCTTTTCCTTCTCTTCCAACTTGGACCCTTGTCGGTGGGATTACTAAAACCGCAAGATCCACCCATCTGCCCCGGCCCAGGGCCCGCACCCCGCACCCCGCACCGCCGATCCGCGGACAGCGCCCGCAGGCGCGCAGGTCTCTTTTCTCAGGTTCACGCCGTCCTTGGGCGTGTTCCCCATGGACCCTGAGATCGGAGGATGAGGAGACTGCCCCTACCTCCCCCGCTTTGGATTCCTTATTCTCCCCCTCCCCAGCATGGATTTCTTACTGGTGCCCTGTCAGACCTGGGAGTGCCCCATCCGTTTCGCGATGCGGGCTCCCGCCGCTGCAAATTGTTGGGTAAAACCCACCCTCCTGTCTTGCAGTGTCTCCGCATCCACCTTTCCATTCATTCATTCATTCATCCTTTTCTCCTTGTCCCTCCTTCATTCATTCATAGCCCCCAACCCCGCCCGCCTCGACATTTCATTCATTCATTCATTCATTCATTCTTTTCCCCGGTGCTCCACTAGCGCACGCCCCTCCAGCCGAGGACCCCAGTGCGCAGTCGCAGGCCGGGAGAACACCGCATCCTCCAATCGTTGGGCATCCTCCCGCCTCTAGGCGCCCGCCCGCTTCCCCATGAATGAACATTGACGTCAATGGGGCGGGGCAATCCCACGTGACACTGCGCGCTCCCGTTTATAAGGCGGCAGCGGCGCGGGCGCTGTCCAGCGTGCTGAAGCCGGAGCGAGCGAGCCGCCCGGACCCAGCTGAGCCCAGCCCACTGGACGCCAGACCTCGACCATCGGTCCTATCCTAGCCACCTCTCGGAGCCGAGGCGGAAGCGTTCCGACCTTCCCTGTCCCCACCCCGCCTCGACCCTCCTCTCCACCTCCTGCGTCGTGACACCAGCTGGTAAATACTCCGCTGTCTGTCCCTCAACCCCTGGCAACGGTGGGTGTGAGGGAGGGTTCTCTCCTAGATGGGGGTGTTGAAAACGCATCGGGGAGCCCCCCGTAAGGGTCTCTGGTAAGTGGGGAGTCGCCGCTTTTTTCTTGCTGCTGAAGTCGCCCACGCACCATCCAGAGTGTCCTGTGGGGAGGGAGCAGAGATTTCCCCCTTATCCTCACTGCTTAGTACGTGGGTGCGGGCACCGAGATGGCTCAGAGAAGGGGGCGAGGAGGCACCGTGGGTGCGAGGGTTGTGGGCATTTTCCCATTTACACGACTTCAGAGATCGGCACATCTTTCTTCTTTGCGCCTAAAGGTCCCTCTTCTGGGAAAGGTTAAGGGAAACCCTGATTAAAGGTGGGGGAAAGGAATGTAGAACCAGAGATCAGAAAATTCTTAAAGAAATCCTTTCTTTCCACCCCTCCTATTTTTCAGTCTCCGACCGTCCCCTGGTCATGAAATCGCTCAGGTTGCCAGTTTCCGCCCTCTTCTGCTTCCTTCTACTGATTAAGGGGCTGGGAGGAGCGCCCCCCGGGCGCCTTGAGGCACAGTCACCTCCCCTCAGCTCTGAGCATAAAGAATCCGTAGCTGGGGACGCAGTGCCCGGGCTGAAGGATGGCCGCACCCCAGAGGTCCGAGCCGCTCGAAATTCAGAGCCGCAGGACGAGGGAGAGCTTTTCCAGGGTGTGGATCCCCGGGCGCTGGCCGCGGTGCTGTTACAGGCACTTGACCGCCCGGCCTCGCCCCCGGCGCCAGGCGGCTCCCAACTGAAGCCAGCGGAAGAAGCAGCAGAAGCTCTGTTAACTGAGACCGTGAGAAGCCAGACCCACAGCCTCCCAGCGCCAGAGACTCATGCGCCCGCGGCCCCGCCTCGCCCTCAGACTCAGGAGAACGGTCCCGAGGCGAGCGACCCGTCCGAGGAGCTCGAGGCGCTGGCTGCCCTGCTCCAGGAACTGAGAGATTTCAGTCCGAGCAGCGCCAAGCGCCAGCAGGAGACCGCAGCCGCAGAGACGGAAACTCGCACGCACACGCTGACCCGAGTCAACCTGGAGAGCCCCGGGCCCGAGCGCGTGTGGCGCGCTTCCTGGGGAGAGTTCCAGGCGCGTGTCCCGGAGCGCGCGCCCCTGCCACCCCCGGCTTCCCAGCAATTCCAGGTTCAGATGCCCGAGAGCCGCCCCCTTCCCGAAGCCCACCAGTTCGGGGAAAAAGTGCCTTCCCCCAAAACACACCTAGGCGACGCATTGGCACCCCTGTCCAAGGCGTACCAAAGTCTGGGCACCCCCTTCCCCAAGGCGCGCCGGCCGGAGAGCTCACTCCTGAGCGGCTCCGAGGCGGGGGAGCGCCTTCTACAGCAAGGTCTGGCTCAGGTAGAGGCAGGGAGGCGGCAGGCGGAGGCCACCCGGCAGGCCGCGGCGCAAGAAGAGCGGCTGGCGGACCTGGCTTCGGACCTGCTACTCCAGTATTTGCTACAGGGTGGGGCCCGGCAACGCAGCCTGGGGGGTCGGGGGCTGCAGCCGGAGAAGGAGCGAGAGAGCGAGAGGGAGGAGGAGGAGGTGGAGCAGGAGAGACGCGGCGGTGAGGAGAGGGTGGGGGAAGAGGACGAGGAGGCGGCGGAGGCGGAGGCGGAGGCGGAGGAGGCGGAGAGGGCGCGGCAGAACGCGTTACTGTTCGCCGAGGAGGAGGAGGACGGGGAAGCCGCCGCCGAAGACAAGCGGTCCCAGGAGGAGATGCCTGGCCACCGTCGGCAGGACGCCGAGCGGGCCGAGGTGGGCGGAGAGGAGGAAGACGACGACGAAGAGATGGACCCACAGACCATCGATAGCCTCATTGAGCTGTCCACCAAACTCCACCTGCCAGCGGATGACGTGGTCAGCATCATCGAGGAGGTGGAGGAGAAGCGGAAGCGGAAGAA